CATCAAGACTCTTCAAACTAACCTCTGTGATAAACGCTGTACTATCGTTTTCTGAACCAGAAATCGTTGTTTTTTTATCATCATTTTTCTTCGTGTCTATTTACAAAAGTGTGTGAAGCTTCCGAAACTTTCCTTAAGGCATTCATCACTAGCACCATGCTTAGTTAAGTATTTCTACTGCCGGAGTTCGTTCACGTGAATTGTGCAGGATCCAGCTAAAGCCTCTCATCATTCGTTTGTCTTCCTGATGTTCGTCATTCGTGGTAATGGTCTGGTTCGAGCATAATGACGTGCGAAAAACGTATTCCGTCATAAACCAAAAACTAATCCCACAACTGCAAATACAACTGGTTGACGTCGGCTAGAGCAACCATTTTATGTAGTGATGGATCGTTCTGGACAGTGCTTTCGCCCTCTCCTTCCATTCGTTGATGTTCTTGTGCTTGTGATGTCAACTGATTATATGACCTATCCAATTGGATATATCTTTGTTCACTTCACTTTAATCATATGGAAAACGCTACAGCAACACTTTTTTCCGAAATAGGAATTGCTATTTGTAATCATTTTATTCGATTTTTTTTCACAAAATTATATTATCAGGATGGATATTGCCACTTTTAAAAGTTTTTCTTCGTATTTACTCAAAAAAACAGTTAGTTTGGTTGTTCGGAAGCTAACGCACTACTTTAACGTGCATACTTAAATTTTTACCATCTCAGCACATTATAAGCTTAATTAATCGCAATAAGAATTATTAGAATCTAAGCTGTTGTCACTTTTTTGGCCCTATCCCTGACCCCATATCTCGTTAATGTTTCGAGCCCTTTGCGCTCCACCACACTCCGAGTTTGAGTTCGTAGGAGGTTTATCGAAATTGCTGTTTTGAAATCCGAAATTCCAACTTTAGTGTTTATCAACGGCCCAATTTTAATCACAGTTTAGTTGTACGGAGCGAATGTGCATTGATAGGTAATGATGGTACACCATTCGAAGAAAAGAACGGCTGTTAAAACATATACAAGGAAAGATGAAATTACAGATCCGAAATTATTTTCAGAGGGCGCGTGTGGCGCAGTGGTCGGTGACGTCCTGCAGCATACACGTGGAATCGATCCGCGCGCGCATAACCCACCAAGTCTACGCTTCCTCCGGGGTCAGTAAATTGGTACCAAACTTGTCTGGGAGAATAGCAGCACAGGCTGTATGCATCGGTAAGTCACCGCGAGTCATTGTAAAGGCCAGATATGCATACAATCACCTCCAAACGATGCTTGATGAAGTCGAATGCATGGTGCACCCTCAGGGATTGATCAACGCCGAGGGCTTTATCCTTTTATCCTTTATTAGTTTCAGGAAAGCCTAGCAGGTCATAATCACAGTTCTATTGTACTGTGGACCATATGCATCGTTAGATACTCAAGTATGAGTTACCACTACACTATCATAAAAGGATAAAGGATAAAGCTCTCGGCGTTTATAAATTCCTGAGGGATGCGCCATTCATTCGACTTCATTAAGCATCGTTTGGAGGTGATGGAATGGATATATGACCTTTACAATGATTTGCCTGCCAACGTATTGAGCCAGTACTGCTATCATTCCAGTGAATTGTGGTACCAATTTACCGACCCTGGAGGGATGGAAGGCTCGGTGGGCCAGGGACGGAGGAATCGATCCTATGTGTGTGTTGCAGGACGCCTCCAACCACTGCGCCACACACGCCTTCAATGCACTATCATGTGATATAATGGTAAAAAGTCGAAGAAATAGCTAAGTATAAAAGCAACCACAACGATGCTGAGATATTGAGAAAACTCGGACCCAGGCCAGATCAAACCACGATTTCCCTTCCCGGGGTGTGCGCATTATGCTCTGTGCCACAGAGTAATACGCGAGCCCCCGGAAAGGGAAATCGCTGTTCGATCTGCTCCAGAGGCCAAGTTTTTGCGAATATGTCAACATCGTTGTGGTTGATTTCGCATAATACCTTGCTGTAAAAGTTGTAGTAGGAGTAAATAAAAAGGTAAGCATTAAATACAAAAGGTTTATAATATTTTTAAGCATCATATTGTCTAAAGAAGACAACAGGTGTTTTAGATTCCAACATGAAAATTATGACAGAAGAAAAAGTGATAGTTTTGGATCACAGCGTCAAAATTATGACAAAATGATAAGGTAGGAATGAAATAGAATGGAAATAAACAAAGGGCCGCGATCTGGCCGTAAGCCTTTATCGGACGTGTAGTAAACTGTGGGCGCCATTGTCCATGAGGAAGGCGTCCATCTCACTCATCATCCGTACTGCACAACACGCAGGTGGTCCAATGACACGGCTCTGAGAAAAGCGAAGTCAGCCATTGAACAATGACAACAGCCACAATAAGAACCTTTGTACCTACCTCGCGTCAGCTAAAGAAGGGAAGTTCGTAAGAACATCACCTGTATCATCTGTAGTCCCGTTGATTGTCGAGTGACTCAAGCGGGCACCAGTAAATCTTCCATTATTCCCTGTCGCGCGCAAGAGTAGCCTAGTGGGTTCTGCTCGCTCTAGAGACTGGTCGAGCATCATATCTTTCTTCAAGACTCTTTGTGAAGAGCGCTGACCATCGGGTCGGTGGTGTTCCCGCAGTGCACTCGACATCCGGAGGAATTCAGTCACTAACGGCTCTTGTACATCGCTTGTCGTTGATGCGCATTACGTGTCCGGCCCACCTTATCTTCGACTGTTTGGCATACAGAGCGGCATCTTTGATTTTGACCGATGACGCATATCGGAGCTTCGGATCCCTTCTCTTACTTTTGTGACACGGGATACTCCTAGCATCGCCCTTTCGATTACGCGTTCAATAACGCTGAGTGACCTTTCATCCTGCTTACGCAACTGCCAGGTTTCTGACCCATACGTTAGGGCAGGAAGCACGGTTAAGTCGAAAAGGTGGGCACGGAGTCGGGTGTTCTTTGTTCTCTTCAATACATCCTCGATGCTCTTAAAAGCTCCCCAAGTCGATTCAAAAATAAGCGATGAATAGAAAAAGCAAGAGAATAGAGGTAAGAATAGATATATTGAAAAACACATTACGAGGATCGTAGCTGCTGAAAAAAGCGCTAGTAAGTATTAAATTCGGAATTTTGGAGACTTTAGTTTGCAATTTACCTCACAGAGGAGACTGCTTGAGTGAAATTCCTATTTTTCACAATGTTCTTGTTAATTTGTACATAATGCTGAGATATTTGCAAACTCCGGACTGCAGGTGTATGCGGTGGGGAACGAACGCGCGCTATTGTCCTTTCCGGGGAGTAGCGCACTTCACCACAGGCAAAACGAAGGACCCGGATAGTGTAGTGGTGAAGTGCGCTGCTCCCCGGTAAGGACAATAGCGCGCGTTCGTTCTCCACTGCATACACCTGTGGTCCGGAGTTTTGCAAATATATCAGCATTATATACAAGTTATATTTCGCAACATACCCTGCCATTAAAAAGAAAAAGGCAGTAAATGAAAGGGTTAAGTTTTTGTTAGTTTTCAAATGAAATACAAGTCTAATGGTGTATGTCAACAGTTGTTCGACAATCACTCACTCACTATCGAAAATGTCCCTGAAAGGAGAATGCACTGAAATCAGTGCGTGAGGATGCGGATAGGTCAGTGGTAATGACGAGCACCATGATCGCTATTTAGTAATTATTTCAGTACTGAAAGAATTAGTTTAGTGTTTAGCTTTTGCTTACTACATATTAAATACTTTGCAGGTATTTCTAAAATTGTTGCGAAATTTGTAAACTTTATTTGAAGCGGTTTCATATGAGGCATAGAATTCACTGAACTTGAAGTGGAATCTGCTCACTGTATATGATTCAGAGGGTAGTTGATTCAGGGCTTTTCATTCAGAGTATTTCATAGGTGATCGGAAAATTTCCCATGTAATAAGTTGGTCAGTCGCGTAATGGTAATCAGCTATGTCATCTACTGTTTATGAATCTACTAAGTTAGTAAATAAGTTAAAACCTTGGCGAACTTCTGTCTAAGACGGATAAGTGAAAGAAGAATTTGAGTGCAGTCGTTTCTATTCTAGTCTGCTATCAATTTATCAGTCCGAAAGAATGCAAGGCCGCGTCGGGTTGGTCTAGCGACCGCCAGCGGATCAAACCAAGTCCGAATGCCCTATCACTACCGGATCGTTTGATTAATTTTGTGAGCGAAATCACTTTTTGCAACTTGTACTCTTAAAAAAAAAAGAATATGAAAGTGAACCGTGAGACCTTTTCTTTGCAATCAAAAGAAAAAAAGAACCGGATATTCATCTCTGAGAAAGATATCTGCCAGCGCACGAGCAGCATAGTTAAGCCTTTGATGGTCGATTTCTCCTTCTATTCAATGGTTATTCGATTTGCATGGTTTTTGGCTAAGAAATCATTGCATATTAGTGTTATCAGTAGTTTTTTTGTAATTTTCGAATGGTCATAGTGAGGGAACGGTAGTGGGGTCTTTAGAACAACATTTTCCAGTCATTGTTAAATGTTTGTCCTCCACTTTTTTCTGAAAAAACAGAATGCTTTCTCACCGACAATTTCATTCCTGTGCCAAAATTTTCCGCATTCATCAAAACCCGGATAATCCAGTAGATACACAACAATGTTTTAACTTTTATTTACTGCCTCTTCTCTTTATAAGCACAAGGATGCTGAGATTTGAGCAAAACTCGGAACCTTGGATGAACTTCGAACCCACGATTCCACTTTTCAGCCGGGTCGAAACCCAACTGTGCTTCCGAGTTTTGCTCATTTTTTAGCGTCTTTGTAGTCTAGTAGCAAATTTTGAAATAGGATGTAAGGAGCAAAGTTTTAAGCACAGTAATCATGCGATATCTCTTTTCAAATCATCGTTATCATTTATCAGTCAGTGTCTGATAAAGCTAATCGTTAGACGTCATTGGATTGATGTAGTGATCTAATCTGAGATGTGTTTCTGGTTTCAGTGAATTTCTTTTGTCTGACGATAATGATGATCCGGCTACTTTATGTGCTGGTTGAGAATGTATGGTATTTTATGTATGATTTGTCAAATTTACAAGTTTATGAATGCAAATCTAAGCATGGATTTGAGTGCATAAATATATGTATATATATATGACATGTATATGTATATAAATATATATATATGTATATTCACATGTATATATATATATATATATATATATATGTATACGATGTGTGATATTACTTACGCCCAGTTTTCATATTTTTTGCTACTACAGTAATATTATTGCGCACTTTTATATTACATTTATTACCACTACTATGACTGCCTTCGTATACGGTACTGGCCATGGTCTGATCTGCGTCGATGATGATGGGTGTTTTTGGTTTGGTTGATGGTGCCACAAGGCTCTTTCGTACCCGACACCGAACACGGTTTCGGTTTGGAATTCGCTTGGATGTTCCATGTATCTTGCTTTTTTTCCTTTTTTGTTTTAGGAGTTTTTTCCTGCCTGCTTATCGAATAGCACACCTTTCCACACGGGGGACACAATGCCTTAATCTTAGAACGAAAAAATCTACCCAGTTTTTCATCCTTCCTTTTTTCTTCTTTTTTTCTGGCGTTTTTGACACCATTCGATTCGTTGGTCTTTTTCCCATCTATCTATCCATCTGTTTCATAAAGTTCTCTGTCTTTAATCCTCATCTAAACGTTCTCTCATAGTCTCAGTTTCGTTATTGTTCGTCAATTTTATCTATTTTGTCTGATAAAAACTTATGGTAATGGGACTAAAAATCAATCTGTTGATTGATTGTTGTGGTTTATGAGAGAGTGCTTGTTTAAACCATAAGGTTATTCGAACACTTTGTTCAATGGTTTTGTACTTTTGTCTAGCCACGGCCATCTCTGACCAATTGCACTTTTATGTAATCTGGTTCATCTGCGATCAAAATACTACCAATAATGCTTCCTAATAAAGTGAACACAGGATCTAAAATTTCCATACTGATCGCTGAAAACATTACGGACCAACTCTAAAAGATGTTCTTCATTGTTGCTCTGAACGTAGAATTATCATGTTCAAGGTTAAGACCAGTAAACTGAATCTATATGGAATTGATAGCTCTGTAGTGATAAGCTTCTAGTTTCTTCGAAAACATGAGAGTTGGTCTAGAAGTGTCCTGGCTGTCCCCAATACCACGTTGTATGTCCAACCATTCGGTCATGTAACTTCGACCATTACTCGTTACGGTCATTAGTTTAAACAATTTATTCTATAACCATAATATTGCTGAGGTATTTGCAAACCTCCGGACCACTGGTGTCTGCGGTGGAGACCGAACACGCGATTACCCTTTCCGAGTGATAACGCGTTAACCAGCTAACGCTAACGTTCGTTCATAATGCCCTGCCATTAAAAAAAAAAACTATTAGGCAGTAAATAAAAATTGACGATATATGTTATATTCTAGGTTTTTGCATGAAGAATATTGTTAGATTATAGATAGGCTTAGGCTTAGGAAAGTCATCAAACACTACTTTCGATTACGGGACTAGAAGTACGAGGAAAACACAAGAAATCGTAAATTGGCAACTGAGACTTTCTTCATAGTTATTCACCTGTGAAAGTTGTGAGTATGGCCTGCCAGTCAAGCTAAGAAGTTGTAATAAAGCTGGGCAATAAGACCTTTACTATTCGTATTAAGTCGAAAATGGTGAGAGGAAGCTGCCTGTTATGTCGAGTCTTCCTGTCGAATTTGTCATAATCACAATGTAATCGATTTTTTTTCCTGGTTCTTATTCTTTCCACTTTTTCCATCCTTAAATTGTTTTCTAGTTGTATTTCTATGGTGCTTTAAAACTCAGATGTTCTATTTAGCTCTTCATATCTTTTAGCTCGGATTTTCCAGTGCCGCTTCTTTTCAGTGCTTTTCACGCTGCACCTATGCGTTGACCGAAATCCTCCAATCCTCCAGGCATAGAAGGCATTCGCTAAATCGCTACCGTATTCAGTGTATGCTTTGAGCGCTGTAACCAATGGTCTAGATTTTGTAGTCGTTAGTTGAATTGTAATAATTGCCAGTGTAGTTTGGAAAGGCTGCGTCAGATTGGAATGCCATACATTCCTAGTGTTGACTACTCAATTCACTGCATTTCTGTTTCTCTCTCTCTCTCATTGGTTTTACGTCCCACTTTTGTACTTTACACATTTTTCTTAGTGCTGCATATATTTCTACGACTACTGCTGCCATTGACATTCACGTTGGCGTTAGCGGTGACGTTGACGGTGACGTCGATGGTGATATTGACGCTGAGGTTAGCATTAACATTGGCATTGACGTTAACCTTAACGTTGGTGTTATTGTTCTTAATGAAAAAGCTGAATATCGTTTTAAGACTACTGCTGCTGTTGGCGTTGACATTGTTGTTCTTCGTACCTTTGCAGAACTTTCACCTATAGGACCGGCCGTCTATGCTACCTGATTGCTTTATTCTGCTTATATCAATCAATATCAATCATTTGATAGCTTTTTGAGAACATGGTCGTTGTAGCGTTTCTTAGTTCACATTATTTTTTAAATATAAATGCCTAATGATACAAATTTATTCCAACTTCCGAAAGAGGAACTTTTGTGGCTACGTTTTGTCGGCAACTTTCTATCCTTTTACACATTTTTTTTTTGATAGGAAGTCCATAATTTCGATTATTTTTTGGAGCTTGCTTAAAACTTAAAAAACCTACTTTATGTGAAAATGGTAAGGAATGGCCACGAGTAAAGAACTTAAAAATCAGAGGAGTAAAAAAGGAAGCTGCAAGAATTACCATGTGAAGAAATTATTTATTTTTCATAATGTTCACCTTCTCTTTACTACCTATTACAATTTTACACAGCAGTGTATTATTTGTGGTACAACCACAAGATTGCTGAGATGTTTGCAAAACTCTGGAGCTCAGGCGTCTGCGGCGGGGAACGAACGCGGTACTACACCTTTCCGGCTAAAGCGCTCACCACCACCCAATGCGTGCCATTCGTTTCGCCTGTCTCTCAGCTAGTTCTATCGATCTTTTGCCATCAGCAATCACCCATCAACGGAATTGATCTGATGAGCCCAAATCCGCAGTGAAACCAATTAAGCTCAGGCTGTAGTCGAAATCACGATGTTAACTTTTTATTTAGTGCCTATTACAATATCTCAGCATCGTTGTGGTTGTATCACACATAAGACCGTGCCGTGAAAAATTGTAATGGGCAATAAATAAAAAGCTAACGTTGTGATTTCGACTATAGCCTCAGCTTAACTGGGTTCATTGCCCACTTGTGCTCCACATATCGATCTCGTTGACAGATGATTGCTGCTGGCACTGATCGATAGGACTAGCTGGGACATAGGCGAAACGAAGGACTCGCATGGTGTGGTGGTGAACGCGTTAGACCCCGGAAAGAATAATTGCGCGTTCGTTCTCTACCACAGACGCTTGCGGTCCGAAGTTTTGCAAATATCTCAGCATCATTGTGTCTATTCTTCAGCTTTTGGTTCCACACGATTTTTCCTCTATGATTTCAGTTTTATTTACTTAGTTGTTTATAAATCTACTCATGAGAACGGCCATGTTCTCTCGTATGGCTTTTGTCTTCCGAAGTGAACATATAAAAAGACACACATGTCTCATTTACGTTTGGACTTCAAATTCAAATTTTCATGAAAAAAAACTGATCTTCGATTTTACTTATTTGCTTTAATATTGTTCCTTGACATCGTTTTTGTGTTGTTTCCTTCTTCGATATTAGTTTTATCATTTCTCTTTTTGGTTTCATTACATCTCAACACTCGAAAGAATACGGCACACTTTACCCCACTGGCTTGCTTTGTAGATAAATCAGGGTGAGTTCAGCAATAGTATACTTCTTTCTCTTCCTTTATGATTGTAATAATTTTTTATACCACAGTTTTGTAGTCTTGAAAGACAAGTGCGGCGCAGTGGTTAGAAATATGGTGCGATGCACGCGTGGTCATTGGTTCGATCCTGTGTCCCGACCTGAGCATTCCATCCGTGCGGAGTCCGCTAATTGGTACCAAATTCTCTTGTTGTATAGAGAACACTGAGTTGATATATCGTTAGGCCAGACCACATAATTATAAGTGGCCAAGTATGCATTCAATTATTTCTACGATGCCACCAATTGAGTCGAATCCATGGCGCATCCTTTAGGGAATGATAAACGTTGAGCACTCCCTATCCGTTACACTGTTTGAATAGATGAGTCACATACAAATGTTTTACGGTGGATTGTACTATCATTGAAAATTTGGTGATGAACGGTAGATTTTAATTGATAATCTAATCGGTTCTAATTTAGATCTCCGGATGCTGCCTAAATCTCTAGTAGTTTTTGTTATACTTAAACCTATCACTTTCTACTTTTCTAACGATTATTTTCGACTTCTGAGTTGAGAGTGAGCAGTTCGTGTTCAGTTGACATAGTGTAGGAGTGGTTTATTGATGAAAGGCAATTATGCATACGGACGGAGGACGTTTCGTTGACCCTGTTCTGACCGTCCGTGTGTTGCGTATCATTCCTATGAAACGCCCTATCCACCTCCACTCACCACTACCATCACACCATTCGCCCTTACTACTCTATCTACATTATCTCACTACTTTTGTTATATGACTGTTTGCTATTGTACTGTCATAGTGGTGATCTTACACAAGATTGTTGTACAAAGGCGTTCTTATTATTGTTAATATTTCGACGTCTTCGCCTACTTTTCAACTTCGACAGAACCATAGTGATTCGGTACACTGGTTCACTGATTATGGCGAGGTTAAATGGAAATGTGTTTTCAAGAATATACGATCATTCTCACTTTATGTCCAGTGTTACTACTACATAATTCATAAGGAATTTAATGCATTTACAGCAATGTGAGTTATATATGACTCATTCCTGACAGTGAGGGTAATTAGAGATTAAAGAATAGTGCTCTCGGCGTTGATCAATCCCTCAGGGATGCGTCATCCACTTGACTTCATTAAGCATCGTTGAAGGTGACTTAATACATATCTGGCCTTTACAATGACTCGCGGTGGCCTACCGATGTATC